AGATGACCCATGAACTGAAGCTTCCGGTCATAGATCTCTCCTCGTCGGACCGCCTTTCCACCGCCGATTCCATCCGTCAGGTTTATTAAGCTTCAGTTTCTAAGAATCCAGAGCAGCATAGTTATGGCATTGAATTTGTTCTTCCGTTTGGTTTCGATTTTTAATCTTTTAATTGTATTCCAGGCATGTATGGAACATGGTTTCTTTTATGTCGTGAATCATGGGGTAGAGGAAGAATTGCTCAACTGAGTTTTCCTAGAGAGTAAGAAGTTTTTCTTACTTCCCCTTGAAGAGAAGATGAAAGTGGTCCGCAAGGAGCACAGAGGGTACACACCCTTGTATGCTGAGAATCTGGACCCCTCTTCCAGTAACAAAGGTTTTTGTGATCCCATCATTTCTAATTATTTGTTCTTCCTTTTGTGGGAGGTAAAATTGGAGCAGTAAATATGGCATCTTTTTGGTTACTAAAAAGTGAACCAAAAAGTGATCTTCTTACCCATGTAGTATTTTGTTTTCCTGTTGAAGGGGAATTAAATGTGTCAAACAGTACAAGTTTATTTGGTTTCATTTTAGTTGGTTCACAATGGAAAGTGGAGATGGGGATTAATCAATTTTGACTTGTTGAAAACAGGTGACTCAAAAGAGAGTTTCTATGTTGGTCCACTAGCCTTTGAGGATCACCTAAATCAATGGCCTTCGGAAGGTATATGTGACTTTGAGCACCTCATTGTTTCTAATACTTTAGTTTTCACGTTTTGGTTGCTAATATGAATGTCATGAGCTACAAGTGCATACACAAAATTGCTATACAGTTATGATCAACAAGATAGGAGGCGGGTGAATTGAAATCCACTTTTCCCAAATTTCTGTCTCATCCTTTATTGTGCTTTATTATCTTTTGTGAATAACATTTTGGCTATCAAGCTTGATCGAGTTTTCTTTGGATTTTATCTGCTAGGAAACTACAGAAATTTTGCCGTCTTGGAGATCTACCATGGAATCCTACCATGAAAAAGTGCTGTGAGTCCCAATAGTTGAATTAGAATTCAGCAATTACAGCTATGGATAAGATTGGAAATTATGGTTTTGGTTGTTTAAGGGTTTGCCTTATGAATTTATATGATTATAACTTGAGATGCCTACGGTTGATTTCTTAGGTCTCTTAATATTTAATGTTGGTAAAGTGTTCATCTGTAAGTTGATACATATACTGATATTCCTTTCCTGCTTTGTTGGCAATGTCTTGTGTGGTTTGCGGTTCAAAATTTATTTGTATGTTTTGATGTCTTGATTTTTCTGTGTTAAGAAAACTAAGTAAGGTGGCTCTCTCCATAGGATTGCACGGGCAGAACCTTTTGACAATTTGAATGGTAGAGAATGCAAAGACACATCATATTAATATGGGGCTATGTTTCCTGCCTTAGGTCTGCTGGTACCAAATTAATCTCTTTACTTGCCCTGGCTTTGAGATTGGATGAGGATTTCTTTGAAAAAGTGGGAGCCTTGGATGCACCAATGGGATTTCTTCGCCTGTTACACTATCCAGGTATATTTGGAACCATTTGGCTGCTTTATATTTTTGGTTGTAAAATGTAATACACTCATAAACTAGTTATCATTCTTGTGCTCTCCTTCTTTCTGTTAATAAAACTTTGGCATTTTGTGTTGCATGGATATTTGATAGGCATTTGCATCTGACAATTATATAACTTACAATATATTTTCCTCCTTTCTACATGATAATAAATGTGATTTTGTAGTTGGACTGATTTTCTTTTGAGAAAAGAAAACCTTATATGATTTTGAAAATGTATTTTTTAGGGGAGTTGGAGCCTTCTGGCAAAGAAATATATGGTGCTTCTGCCCATTCAGATTATGGAATGATAACTCTTTTGGCAACTGATGGTGTTCAAGGGCTTCAGGTATGTTCTATGTCTATAAAATGAAGCTATCAGCTGTTATGTTCTAATTGCTGACATCTCTTCCATCTTATTACTGATAACAGGTTTGCAGGGAGAAATCCAAGCAACCACAGGTTTGGGAGGATGTGCCAAGTTTACATGGGTCAGTACATGATGGCATATATCTTGTGCAAAGTATAGCTAGTTTGAGAATTGACTCCTAAACAAATCCAGTCACCCACACTTCCTTTTACCAGCAAAGGAAAAATGGAAAAGAAATTCTGTCCCTGTATTTGATTTGCATTGACTTTGATGGCCAAATAAGTAAGACTGATAATCTTGTAATGTGGGGTAGAATCTGTGTATTCGCCTTCATCCTTGGTTGCAGTTGTGATTTTTGTAGATTTCTCTAGCTGATCCAGCCTTCTGACTTTGAATATCAATCTGCAGGGCATTCATTGTTAACATTGGGGATATGATGGAAAGGTGGACTAATTGTTTGTTTAGGTATTTGAACTTTCATTTACCTCGAACAACCTTTGATATATATTAAGGAAGTTTGTGCTGTTTTGAGATGATTTTATAATGGATTTTGTAATGGTGTTTCCACGATGTGCTTTAACTTGTTTCATTTATTTGTAGGTCAACGCTACACAGAGTGATGCCAACAGGACAAGAACGCTACTCTGTAATAATTTTTCTCTTACCTGTTTATTTTTTGTTCTATGGCATTCACTCTCAAAAAGGTTCACAAACAATTATTGTTCACGTAGGTTGCAAATGGTCATTACATATGGCAAGTTCATCTTATTTAAAAGGCTTTTGGTAGGATATTTGCTTTTATCATGCCTAAATTCACATCTTGATGAAACGATCTGTACCCTATTTGATCAATTTCATAGCCAGAAAGTGTTGCCATTTCTGGCCAGGCATTTGGGGAAAGTACCTGTCAGCATTCTAATAGAATTTATTTAGGTTAGACATGGACTCAACCCAAAGGACAACATCTTTTGCCAAAGGTCTCTGGCTATTTGATGGCAAGTTATCCATGTTCTAATTTTTCAAAGATGGTAGGAAAAGAAATGATAGGATATGTGATGAAGCATCCTATTTTCTCTAAATAAGGCCATTTGTACTTTGAAAATTGCTTCTGTTTGGAAAATTTTCTGATTCATTATACCAATGAATGGAAAACCTTTCAACCTCAAGGCATGCTAAGAATTTCCATCAGATTCCAGCAACCACCGTCTTTCATCAAGAGAGGCATGTTTCTCATTGACAATTTTCAATGCAACATTTCAGGTGGCATTCTTCTTAGATCCCAACCGAGACTGTTTGGTGGAATGCCTGGCAAGTTGTTGCAGCGAGTCTTCGCCCCCAAGGTATGACTAAAGTCAGGAACTTCCTGTTTTTTTCACATTTTGGCTAAACTTGGAACACTATAGTCCTGTCATATCATTTGAAGTCATCCCCAATTTGAGCAAAAACTGCTCAAATTTGCTTAGTATTAGTTTGAACAAAATCAATATCTCATTATCAAACATCGGCAAAAGCCCATAGATAGCCCTTCAACTTTTTGAGTGTGTGGAACTTTACTCCTTATTTTACGATATGTGATTTTATACCCT